ATAGAATTATATTGTAAAAGAATGTCGCGGAAACGTACTGTAATATGATTGCATGCAAACCAGCGATAGTATATTTTTTCATAGATGTTTATTACTTCACCCATCCCACCATTCGTTGGCGTCGTATTTTTCTGTAGGAAGCCAATGCTATTAGCGATATAATCTTGCATTTAAGATTATCTTAAGTAGTATTATTTCTTGCTTAAATTACAGTGGAAAGAGTTACAAGGAACAATTTTTTTTTTCAATTAAAATTAAATAACATAGTTATATCGAAAGAGCATAAAGAGATAATTGAACAAAAAATATTGGTCGGAAATCTAAATTTAATGGACTTATTAGCTAATATAGATTAACTTTAATCTTAGTTAGAACTAGAAAAATGAAGAGTTACTTGAACCGAGATTAAATTTAATCTCACATTGATGGAATCGGACTTTAGTTAGATCTAAATGTTTGAAGACTGAAGAAACTGTTAAATAAGATTGCAGCCAACGAATTGAACGTATAGCTTTCCGTTATTACGTTATTCTTAAATATGAAATTAGACTGTGAATATCTACGTCTATTTGTATTATGTATTTACATCTATGATGTAAATGCAAAGTTCTACGAATTCTGAATCGGACAGCAATACGAAGTTCCACGAATTCTGAATCAGACAGCATTGTTGCTCTTAACTGTGCAACTATACGATTTCGCGCCGTTAAGTTGTCCGATATTTGGTGTATATATATATATATATATAGACACACACACACAATATATATGTATTAATATGTAAGTTTACTTCCTTAGTAGATCCGCTATCACGAAAAGCGTTTCCTTGGGATTCGCACGTACAGTTAAAGTATTATCCGTTTCACAAATTCCATGTTTATAGTATGCGTTTATGTATGTGTGTGTATGTGTGTATGTGCGCGTTTAGGTGTGGGCGTATGTGGCGTTTTTTCCTCGAGTTTTTCTGAACGTTAAAACGTTAGCGAGCGCATGGCACAGAGTATTCGAGACACGTGAGCGAAAGGCAATGTTAATTCTCTAGATTAGAATCATCATGTTAACGTTTAACGCTGTAAATAGACAGACTGTGATAATTTCTAACAATGTCTGCGTGAACACATCTCGTGAACGGGGTGACCGAAGAAGGGACTCGTTCAGGAAAGGGACCTAAGGAGGGTTGATCGAAGGACACGAGAGAGCGAAGGCCTTTGCAGTCAATTTATCGTAAAAGAAATTAACACTTTAATTTATGTTCTAAGCGATGAAAGCGTGGATCGAACGGCTCGATCTGGCTCGAAGTACATAATTTATTTAAATAAAGTGTATTAGCTGGCACATTTTACATACGTCTCGCCTTCCCACCATTATGCTTTATTGTAAATATAATGAAACGTGAATATACGATATTATATTAGAAATTCATATTGTTCTAAAGACTATCATATTATATATGCATTGAAAATTGTAAATTGAAAATTATAATTCAGCCAATTAAAATGAAACGGATTAAAATTGTCTGACTGGTTGAATTATAATCTTTAATTCGCAATCCTTGCGTCTTCGCAAGTTTAAGTCAAAGTCGAAGTTTGAGTAATCTTTACGCAAAGAACGATGAGTCGGTTGACCCGAAAACTTTCTCAGTGCGCAAATAATTTTTATTTTACATTTATCGTAATCTTTTAGTTAAGATTTAAGCGATTCACCTTAAAGTAATTTTTTTATTTAATAACATCAATATTTGATTTAATGACTTAATATTTGATATTCTGCTTGACCTCAATGGCTCGATATTTACGAAAGATATATAATTTTCGAAACGTATTAAAACATATTCGTTCCACTAAAAAGTTCCAGATAATAAAATCTATCAAGGATAGATTTTATAAGTACCTGTCACATTTTATAAGTAAAAATATAACAGAAATTGCAAACAACAAAGTATGGCAAATTGACTTGATAAAAATCGAATAGAACGTGTCATTTCGTAATCATTTGAATAATGTATTCCGTTTAAATGATTATGAAATGATTGCGATTCTGCTTGATTTCTAATATCAATTTGCTATGGAAATATGCCATGATATTAATAGTCGACTGACGAATGACGAGTTTAATGTAGATATGCTAATCTACCATAATATTCTACTCAAATATTTATATGAATCTTTTATATTTAAATTTATGAACATTTGAAGAAACACTTTGTTTCTTCAGATTTTATAAATTTTTTTATTAATTGTAGAATGAAAAATCTTAAAAATCTAAGCAGACTACTAATATTTTGCTTATTAACTCTGGTGAAAATTAAAAAAAAAATTCTTCACACTCTCTCTTGAGAGTTTTTACATAAAAAATTTAAAAAAAAAATTTTTAATATATAATTTTATATAATAATTTCTTAAAAAATCTTCCAAATTTTCTTAGACGAGTTGAGATATTTCTTAGAAGTGTTGAGAAAGTCTATATCCTACTTGACATCAAATATAAAAGTAACAAAGCTCTAAACTCTAAATATTATAAATGTAATATAACTTAGATACTTTTAGTTTGCGTCGATTAGGATCTTTTCTACGTAAAGATATTGTATAAAGAATCCTTTATACATGTTAATTCTGAAATATTCTAAGATTTGTCATTCTATAATTTCCGAAGAAATCTTTTAAAATCTAAAGATGAATAAATCTTTTAAATTTTTAAGTATTTTTCAGAAATATTTATAAGTCTGAAATATGAATAATTCTTAAAAAATATAGAGATAATTTTTTATCAAGGAATATATTAACGGTAAGCAAAATAAATATATCGCTTGCAATTAATTATCTCTCCACTCCTCTCTTTTTCTCTTGAAACTTGTTACATTGATCTGGGACGCATTGTATACAGATCGGTTCGTCCTAACTGTACTCTTTGCACTTCCCGCACTCGAAACACATTTATGCTCCATTGAGACAAGGTAGACAAGAATAAGGCGGTAAACAGCGTAAAGAGAACGGACGGAACTCAACAGCCCACTTTACACGATTCATGGCAATCCATTACGGACAAAACGCCGGATCTTCGTTTAAGAAAAAGAATAAAATTTATTACTATTTAATAAACATTTTATTTTATTTTAATTTTTTCTCAATTTCTATCAATTCTAGATTTCTTCTTTCGGAAAAAACCTATTTTGTCACTATTTTGTGACGTTAGATTCTTTTTTAAAAATAATAATTAATAAAGAATGATTATAATACAAAAGCAGACAGATTTTTTTGAAAAATAGGAACTTGGAGTTGCTATTCTAATGAAAAAAAAATTGTTATGTCTTTAAGAATTTTTCATATTTTTAATTTACGAAGATTTTTAAAAGAAAAAAATATTATTTCATCAGATTTTATAAGTTTTATTATTAACTATAAAATGAAAAATCTTAGAATATTTCAAACTTCTATTTTTCACATATAAATTTAAGATTTATAGAACAAATTTAAAACAAAATTATAAAATATATATAAAAATTCTGAAAAAGCTATTTGAAGGATTCTAAAGGTGGAAAAGATAAAAATAAAGTAAAGATTGATATACCATATGTGAAAGATTCATTTAAACTCATTTAGATAGAAGTTAGCCTTTTTATATCTGGACTAAATGTGTTTCAAACAAGAAGTGTTTCTTTTTTCTCACGTAAAAAGTTGCAATACAAAAGGAGAAAAGATTTAACAGGATGTTATATATGTTGATCATTATGCCTTACGAAGAAAACTGTGTGAAGAATAAATAAGAACATTCTTAAAAGCATATCAGAAATCTTAAAACAGCTTAAGATAGCAGCCGAGGCACGTGAGAAACAATTTATTCTTTATAGTTGAACATGCTTGAACTTTTTTGTAAATGAACTTTTGTAGATGAACTTTCATCCATTCCACGTCCAAGTTATAGAATATCATAAGTCTGTTCTGTTGAATCGGAACAAAAATTTATAGCGCTATGAACTTCAAAATTCAAGCATCTGTAATATACGATCAAAAAAATCCGAAAAAAATTCAATACCTACCTATATTATTTTAATTACAAACAAAAATGATACAGTAAAATTTTATTTTTTTAATTCCAAAATGCTCTTTAAATTCCTTTTACATCCATATATATAATTCTTTAAAACAGTTTAAATTAAATTAAAATCTTAAAATCTTAAAATGCTCTTCTTTATAAGAATTTAAGCTTTTTTAGAAAATCATTTGAAGAAAGCTATAATCAAAAAACATATATATTTCTGAAAACATATATATTTATTCTCAATATATTTATGAGAGAATAAGCTCCTCAATATTCAAATTCTTATTTAGAAAAAAGATTGGAGAACCTTCTTAAGCAGAAAGTATAATATAGTGCAGCTATAAAGAACGGATATAAAAGGAATTGTATTTAAAAATAATAAATATTATATATTATTTTATTTTATATTTACATTATTTTATTATATTAGATATATACTTTATATTATTTTATAATATATTATAAATACATTTTTAATAATATTATATTATATTTGAGAATAAGCTCTTCAATGTTCAAATTCTTATTTAGAAAAAAGATCGGAAAACCTTCTTAAAAGCAGAAAGTATAACATAGTGCAGCTACAAACGATAAATAAAACGCAACACCACAGGCATTTCAAAATTTTTTCGACGTGGATTTATTTTTTGAGTTTAGACTATATTTTTTAACGAAAGAATTTGATGATATTTCTTCCACAGTTTTATTGTGGAAGATCCTGTATCTAATACAGGATATTTGTATGTAATTAAATTAAGTTTAAATTTAATTTATTTTATATTTATTTTATATTTTTATATTTTTATATTTTATTTTATTTTACATTATTTTATTATATTAGATATATACTTTATATTATTTTATAATATATTATAAATACATTTTTAATAATATTATATTATATTTGAGAATAAGCTCTTCAATGTTCAAATTCTTATTTAGAAAAAAGATCGGAAAACCTTCTTAAAAGCAGAAAGTATAACATAGTGCAGCTACAAAGAATGGACGTAAAAGAATCCGTGGAAACGAATCGCGAAGAATAGTGAAGAAGAAGCGATCGTGTGAAACGGGCCGCGCCGCGCGTCTGACGTCTGACAGCGCTCGTGTCAACACCGCCAGTCGACCGAGTTTGCCAGGTTTGTCTTTGTTTCCATCGCCGCAGCAGCCGCCTGGATATCTTCCAATATCCTTACCTTCCTCCGTGTTTACGGCGTTTACGCTCGCGGTGAACAATCAAACGATGTCCTTCGCAATCGCGAGCCGAGCGTTCCATGGAAATGTTTGTTTTGCTCGACTCGTCGGCCGTTGAGACCGGTCGCAACCGTCGTCCGTCAACTTAACCTCTACACCGCGAAAATTAACCTGGAACGCTGTGAATCCGCTGATTCCGCTCCGCGAGTCGCAGTCGTGGAGCTTCATCCACGTCGAGCTCGTCCCGAATTGAATCGACCAGAGAAGCCTTCGAACTTCCTTCTTCTGGGTTATCAGGAGATTGTCCAGGTAAAGATCTTGATATACGATAAACGACCCAGTAAGAGATTGGGAAAGTTACTTTGTAAGTTATTTATAAGTTACTTTTTAGGTTACCTTATATGAGTTTGTATAGAAATGGAGGGATTACAAAAATAATACAAAATTGGAGCAAATGATAAAATATAATATAAAAATAGAACACCCGAACTTATTGTTCTCAATTTCTATAATAAATGTAACTTATGACTCTTATATGAGTAACTTGAAAAGTAACTCATTGACAAGCAATTTAATAATTTTTGATGCTATGTAATAAGTATATCTTTATAAGAATATTAATAATTAGATGTTAATGAGAATCTGGGATCAATTTGATTTATTTGTATTATTATTAATAATCTCAAATGCTTTTTTAAATATAATATTGTAATTTAATTGAAATCTTTAAATACAATTAAATTATAATGTAATTTTTTATTATCATAATAAATTTTATCATGTCCCCTATTCATAGTTAGACTTCTTTTTGTATTTGTTAAGAGTTTGATTAAGTTCATCTTTAGATTTTTATTGACTATGTAGTCAATAAAATACATAGAGCATCTGAAGATAAATTTAAGGAAAACTTCAATATAAAGCTTATGAATACGGATGTATGTTTCTGAACATAAGTTCGATCAGTGGAGATGTTTACTTCACTTTTGACATTTCTGTAGGGAATACGTGTGGATACGTGATGGCCGGCAACAACGAGCTCTGGGTGCAGTGTTTCACGTGCTGCCTGACTCCACGGCCAACAAGGAACAGGCGGAACAGTGGTAGGCCGCATCAGAGGCTCAGGATAGACCGGAGCATGATCGGTGTACCCACGAATTTCAGACACACAGCGCATATCAGCAGCGGCGACATCGACATGTCGATCGCTCAGCTGGCCGACCTCCAGGCGCAAATGCAGAGGAAGAGTGGTTTCGATACCGATTTCAGCGCCAAGGTATGACTCAGCCTTTTATCGGTTCCAGATCCTGCTTTCTCAGATTAACACAAAGTCTAAAAAGAAATCGCGATACAAGACATTTTGAAGACATTCGAAAGAAGAAATCTAGAATTGGATAAATTATTTGTTTGAAGCTTTGTTGATTTTATTCCAGACAATCCCTCGTTCCCGTTATGTAAAATATACTTTTTTTCTTTTATTTCTTTGCCAGAGCTAATCAGTTGAATTGTTTTCACTTCCTGTCACAGGCATGCTGAGGATAGCTTCGTCAATGTCGCAGCAGGATATTTAACACGATAGCGGCGGAGGGAGAGAGCTTTATGTAACGGAAGGAAGAATGACTGATGTTTTCTTTTTGATATCCATGTTCCTTACTCGTTTGATGGACGAGCGCATTTCTTCCATATGAACAAGATTGCATTTTGCAAGATGCTTAGAGAATCAAGACAAATTTATGTACACTGGACAAGTCTCTGACTTCCATTTGGAACGGAAAACTGCCAGAATTAATCATGTACAGCGTACAAATAATCATTTATGACTTTATACCTCTATATTTTTGACTGGAGACGCATTGCGTCTAAAAACTTAATATTCTATAATCGTATTCTAAATAAATCATGTGCCTTTTTGTCAGCGATCTGACGTTCCGTGCGGAAAAAAATATGTACACAAAAATGAAGAATAGATCATTTTATTTGTAAAATTATTTAAGATTTAGAAAATATAACGTAAATGTGTAATTAGAGTATAAGTAAACGTATCACATAATATCACATAATATAATTCTGTACACGTAATACATATCCTATTGTCGAATATTGTCGCGTATATTAATAATACAAGAGAGCATTGGCGATATTTATAAAATGGTGTAGTTCTTTCATGGAAACACCTCCATTCCTTCGATATGATATCGACGATTGTTGTATCGGCTCGCGAATTCCTTCATGTATCAACTTCCTTCACCTCCTTTGTATTCTGGACACGGCAGTGTGGTCCTCCGATTCATAGATGTAATACAAATAGACCGAGCTTGAGACACGATGTCTGAACGTAGAAAGAGACAGGAAGTAGTTTTTATTTCTCTCTAACGTAGTAAGAAAAAGGAGTAACCAAAAACCGCTGGCGACAACTTCGACTAAGCTCGACAATTAATTTAATCGACAGAATTGTTTACAGCAAAATTTCGAATTCTATTCAACTGTATTCGTTGCTCTTAATATCTAATCTTTTTTTTCAGGTTTGAAACAAAAAATTATTAACGCAAATAAGCGAAGAAGTGAAGGCCATATTTTATCAAAGCGGATCTTGGTGTTTAATATTTTTTGCTTGAATTTTCAGTTTATGCGAACTGTGTGCCGATTACATTGATTTACAAAGTTTCATGCAAGAAGATATGAAGATTATTTCTACGATAATTTTCTACGAACCATAATTTACCATTAAAATATTTCCAGGATTTTGAGATATAAGAAAAACATATCTAATTATAAAAAGAAAGACTTTTTTCCAATATAATAGTGAAATTTGATTGAAAACAAGTTTTATTAGAAAACAAATCGAAAATGTTGATGGAATTTTTCTGATTCGAACTCGGCGTTCTAAAATATAAAAAGTTAAGTCTTTTTTGCAGTAAGCAACTTCAAAATTTGTAAACTAGTGTTATTTGTCGGTCTCGAAACACAGTTCTGAATTGAAACTGGAGAACGTAATGTCACAAATTAAATTGACAAGCAATTACAAAAAATATCGTCCCATAATTTTACTGCTAACAGTTAACGACAACAAGCTGCTTGATGTAATATCATCAGAGTTGATATGACAGAGTCATCCTGAGCATCCTATCTGTGAACGTGCGACGTACCGAACATCTGCGTAGACACGAATGAGACGGAAAGAGTCACTCCATTATATTTTCTCCTCGCTCGTCCTAACTTTCCTATCGGAGTATCATTGACGTGAAAAAGGTACTTGATTTACTTTATTGTGTTTGATTGACCGGCAGGTTTAGTCTCAGTCCCAGCCTAGTTGTGGGATCGCCGATGAATTTTACGTGACAACAACAGCTCGACGGAAAGCGGAATTGATCCTTGAAGATGTTACCGTCACTTCCCACCGCTGCCAATTCTCGATAGATGTATTTCTGTTTGCAGGAGGTCTTGTAGCCCTCGGCGAAGTCCTCGATCATGTCGCACTTCTGGCCTTCGTTCCTACAATCAAAAACTCACTATAAATATGTATCAGACGATTCTGTCCCCATATTATTTTCTTTTTTTTTAAATACATTGTTTTAGTTAACAAGAAATGTATAATATGACATAAATAAAAGTACAATTTTTATTTAAAATGCAATGCACTTGACTGATTTCGTAGTCGAAGGGAAAGAATTTTAGCTGATTTTGTAATAAAGTGTCTTATCGTTCTTTTTTTAATATGACTAGCGAATATAACTATAAACAGAAATGATTTAATTTCATTTGTAATTAAATACACTTTTCTCTTTTAATTTTCATCAGATCAGTTTATAACTGCTTTGCACATTTTTTAAACATTCAATTTGTGACCTATCTAAGAACCTATCCAGACAATATAAAGTTTAAAATAGGAACATAAGACGTGGGCATTTGGACACTTTTGGACGTTGTCTAAGAAAGTTGTTTATTTTATAATGATATCTCATTAAAAAAAAATTTTGAATATAGCTGCTTTCGATTATCAGGTACTCAAATAGAATTGTTCTTACAAACAAACTTCAATGCGTATTCCTTGTTTCAAGTCATCCTGGTTCACGATGAACAACCATTGATTTTGCTTGTTCTGCGCGGTTTGCGGGTATACCACTTGTTCCTGCGAATTTAACGATTAATGATATTTCAAATGTTATTTACTAATTCTAATATTTATTACACAATGCAGAGGCAATCTAAGGAAACTAAAAACTTATTCGAGAGAATAATAACAAAAAGGCCAAATCAACTCACACGAATTGGGCAAAGCATTGATTCGCGCGACACCGTGTCTATCCTCTGTTCGACATCGGATATCTGAAAAAATACATATATAGTGAGTGCAAAAGGTATTCGTACAGAGAAAATATTTTTTAAAAGAACTTTATTTTTAACAAGTAAATATTATCCAGCGAGAAATGAATCATCGAATTGATGTCGAATCGATATCGATGATTTCAACACCAATTCGACGTGAATTCGACATTTAATTGACGATCATTTCTTGCTGGATAACAATTTGTTCATAAAGAATAAAATAGATTGTATGTTTTCTTAAAATTATATATACCAAAAAGATGTGTATTAATTATAGAAAATATATTATCTGAAAAATATGGAAAAATTAAAAATTTTATTGTTTGAACGCTCAAAAAGTATTCGTTGGTAATGTTTATTTTTTAATTAATGTTTATTTATTAATTAATGTTTATTTTTTAAATCAGACTTTTTTTATTTCCTTGTACGAATATTTTTTGCTCTTACTGTATGTGTACGATAAGATACTTCGCGGAATTTAATAAACGACATAAATAAAATATTAGATGATTATTGAATATTTAAGATTAAAATTGTAAGTACAGTAATACATTACCGTACAATAAAACCGGCATAATTTCATCGTCAATCTCGAACGTAAAATTAATTTATACATATATGGAAAAAACAATTTTGCTGAAATGTCTAACAATGTAGCTAGATACGGATATGAAAATAATGTTTTTATTTTTGTAGGATACTTAAACTGATTGCTGGAATATTAAAACTTTTTGCAGTATTGTCATCAACGTTTAAGATAAATGTATTAGTGTATACGATTCAATTATTAAACAAAATGACAAAAATATTAAGCTTTAATGATACACGATTCTAAATAAATTTATATAAACAATTTAAGTTATAAATTTAAGTTATAAATATAATTAAAAGCATAATATTAAAAATTTTTCTCATTTCATCCAATAACTGTTTAAATATAAATATTCATCAACTGTTCAATGACTGGTACATTTATCTTAAGCGTTCTATATAATCATTTTGATAATTCAATAAAATTATTTTCAGATCTAATCTAATTCTGTATCTAATTAAATTTTTTAAATAATAATAATAATAAATCTGTATCTAATTAAATTTTTAGATACTTCAGCAAAACCATTTTTTCGTGTATAATTTGAAATAATAATTTTAATTTAGACTCCAGATCTTTCATTGTCATCATATTCCATAAAACGACAAGAATCGTAGCGTTGAAAAATATTTCAACATCATTTTTGCATCGTGTCTCGTGCATCGAAAGTTTACATAACACGTCGAGATTATGTCAGTTTCGCAATTCTTTGTTCTGTAAAGACGTATACGCACAGCTAGATAATTATAGCAGAATGTAAAATAAACTTCATCTTGATGCAATATGATGAGCTAATGATATGATGAGCTAATAATAAAGCGATCGCTCACGCGTTCTTATGTGTGACAAAATCATTTCTAACCGAATCGACAGTATCGACACTCTCCAGGAATCTCAAACTGATGTTCCGCTGTATCGCTGCGTTCACCAATTGCCTGGGATAATCGGCGACGTTCTCGCAGAATGTACTTTTGCGGCAGGTCAACGTCGGAATTGGTGTTCCCGACGATGAGATCCTACCGTCCGGGAAAATAATTTTCTCGTCAGAATTCCTATATATTGACGTGCCCGTGTCCCTGTGCGATATATCTGGACTCCTGTACATCGACATATCAGTGCTTGAATCTGCAAAGGAGAAAGATAGCAATTTATTATGAATATTTTTTAAAATCCTTCCGCAATTGTTTCGGAATTTTTATATAAAGATCAGAATTTTTCATGTTTTTCTATATGATTATAAATTTTTAGAAAATTTTTCAGATTTTTTTATATAATACAATACAAATTGGAATACTTTTCAGACGTGCTGAGAAAGCCAATATACATTTTAAATATTTTATATATGTAAATTTGAAAATTTCTTAATCCATAATTTTCAAAGAAAACTTATAAAAGATATATTTTTTTAGAAATCTTCATAAAGTCAAACTCTCTTAAAGATATTAAAAGTATGAAATATAATGAGAATTTTTCAGAATGGTGACATTTTTTCCTAAAATTCTTCACATAATTTTCTATATAAATTTCAGAAATTTTCATAATTTTGATATAATTTAATTTTATGATTTTTTAGAAAATTTCTATGTAATTTATTTCTACAAATTTTTTATACAAATTGGAACATTTTTTAGAAATGCGAAGAAAGTCTACACCTTTTCCAGAATACTTTACGTGAATTCTGAGATATTCAAAGTCTATTTCTCATTCTATATTTCTGAAGAAAACTCATATAAACTTGATTAATAAATCTAAGATACTCTTTTAAATCTTTATAAATTTAAAATATGCAAAATTTTTTTAAAATATTACACTGAAAGAAAAGATTGGCTGCTGTAGCAAATTAGATAATAAAATATGGCATAGCATTTTTAATTTGCTGCAGCAACCAACCTTTTTTTCAATAATGTATGAGATATAAGAATTTTCTTCATCAGGGAATTTCTATAACACACGATATTTAGAATGCACGCGCTATCGTTATTTCGTAAATTCCCGTTTTACGGAGGAAACCGCAACTTTAAATAAATAGATTGTGTTTAAACCACTGGCCTTGATCAAATTATAAATAATTATTGATTCGTTCTGGGGAGTCATTAAAAAAGAATGTTGATCACTTGAAATCAATACTTATTCAAGATAAACATGCCTTGCAGTGATTTTTTTGATCTACTTCGAATCACCCCATCGCTCGGAAACTTCTCCTTCGAAGTGTCCCTCTGCATCTGTTTTATCTTTTGTGAACAACAATTGTCGTCTTCGTCGTTGGTCTTCTGCCATTCTTGCGGTCGCAGAAACACCTAAAATTATTTACAGGTTTTAAGACGCTTCTTACCATTAGATTTATGAGTACCTTTCTAAAATATAAGCATCAATTATTAAACTTCTTGTCAATTTTAATTTGTGATATTATTACTATCCTAATTCTTTTAGGACTGAGTACTAAAAGTTATAAACTGAAAGAAAAGGTTGGCTGAATATGGCACAAAATGTTTAATCCGCTAGCAACAGCCGATCTTTTCTTTCAATGTATTAGGTGCGCAACTAAGTTCTCGCTGCTATTTTGATGCATTTTCATCAAAATAACAGCGAGAACTTAGTTGCGCACTTAATAGTTAAATTTAGCGAGGATCCAAATTGGCTGCCTCGATCCTTCCATTACTAAAGCAATTTCCTAATTGTTGTGTATTCACATTTACGGTCTACTTCGTTTAATATTGTAGAAACACCTGCTGCTCGTACGCCTCTTCGATCACTCTCGAAATCGACATATCCTGCGACGAGGAACTTCCGGCGTCCGGTGACTCCTCCGACAGCTCTGAAGAAGCGCGAGGATATCCTTCGATTGGTCGCACCGTCTGGCACACCTGTCGAACGAAGACGGTATGAAAACAATCGGATCTCGACCCGGAGAGACTTTTCCTTCTCTAAAAATAAGCTGTTTTCCGTGAAGTACGCGCGCGCGCGCGCTTGGAATTATGTAAAGAACCGTCTTGTTCTTGGATCATGAGGTCGGAATCACTGCGCGCGGCGCGGGAGAATAGAACGCGATAAGAGAAAGATAAATTATTTCTACACCGAGGTTGAGAGGCGGCATAAGATCCTGTTACGAGCAAGTGCATGCAGCCGCGAACGAGATTATATAATAATGCAGTGTAATTACTCCGCGCAGGCCGCCGGTATCTGAAAGCATTTTGAGAATAAAGGATCATTCGTTCAAAATCAAGACATAAAGACATCTTAAAGACATCTTACGTTTACATCTCAATTTTAGACTTTACAATTTTAGACTTTGTCTGCGAAACTGTCAGCTTGTGTCGTAAGTTAAATAATGAATCAACTTCTTATAGCTTATGGCATAATTTAATAGTTTATAATCAGTATAAATAATCCTTAAAAGAGAGTAAAGAAAAAAAGAAGATTTATAGCGATTATTATGTGACATTTGCGATATAATTTGTTTTGAGACACTGAAAAAAAATTTTATTAAATATTTATTTGAATAATAACAAATTTACTAAATGTAAACCTATATTTATTTAAGTATATTTCTTTATCTTAACAATCTAATTAATAAACTAAATATTTTTTTATTTTAAATAAATGTTTATTTACTGTAAGTAAATTTTATTAGTATTTTCAAATAAATATTTGACAAAATTCAGTAATTTTTTTCAGTACGAAAATATGTTGATAATTTATATATTATTTAAATAATATTAAGTGTTTAATTTCTACATAAGTTATATTTTATTATACGATTGAGTCAGTTTAATTTTTTTCGTAATTTTGTCTCCATTTTTATAGGGAAAATCTTATGAAAAATTCAAAACATACGCGTGAAATATTCGCATAATTGCGGAGAACTGTCATAATGCAATTTTACAACATATGTATCATAGATATTCCTCCCCCCCCCCTCCCCCACCGGTAAATATTGCATCTTAATTTCCCGTCAACGAAGCGGATCGCCAGGTAATCCCGCGACTTTTCCAAGTAATCCTATCTGTCATCGTTTTATTATTATACATTCTCGTGCATTCGTGATGCATATATGTATCACAACAACAACTTCCGAACGTGTTATTTAAATCTGTTCATTGTTGGGAAATCTTGTCAAACTAGTACAAGAGGAAAAAACCTAAGGCAATATATATTCTAAGAAGAAAAAAATGTAAAAGAGATAAATAAAAGTGGAATGTGGACGACCGATATTTCGTAAGAAGGGGATGATGGAAGAATTTAGGAACGAGCATTTCCCTCACAGAAATTCAATGTGATACTGATTCATTGCATTCCAGAAAGTAGTAAGTAATTTTTAGTGTATTTTGAGTATTAAAAGTACTGTTGAGTATTAAAATAAGCAATTACTAATTAAGGTCTACCTTCCAAAAGTGCGCTGTTGTTCAGTGCTTTAATATACTCAAAGTAGATAATTAATTATACCTTCCAGTAAAAGCACTGTTATTGCTTTAATAATAAAAATAAGTAATGAATCATTACCTTTCAGTCAAAATAATGTTGTTTAGTGTTTTTAACACACAAAGTAATTAATTACTAATTTTCAATAAAAGCACTATTCAATAATACTAAAAATAAATAATCTTATGTGCCTTGCAATATTAAAAGCACTGTTTTTCAATATTTTTAATATCCAAAATAACTAGTAAATTAATCACTTTCAGTAAACATTGTTGTTCAATGCTTTTAATGCTCAAAATCACTATTAGTATCTATTAAATTTCTGTAGAGATCGTAAAAGAATAAAACAACAAGTTTTTTGAAAAGTCTATATTTTCAATATAAGCCATAAATTTTCAACAACTTCAAAACATAGTTGTTTTTATTACTTTTAAGTAACACTGCCCGAAGGCGCCTCTCCTTTTTTGCAAGAAGAGCCAAAAAACTCGATCGTTCCGCGATGATATTGAGATAAAGAGAATAATAAGGACATCGATACTAATCTCCGCAATAAAATCCGCAATAAAATCCTCCATTTGATATTAGTATATTCGTATACACGCATATTCGTATTGCCATGGACACGTTTCTGTGCCTTTCAACCGACATGACCTCCATGCGCGCATAAATCCCATAAACCGTTGACAAGTGTTCAGTGATTAACGATTTAAAAATTCGGAGAAAGATAAATATGAATAAACAAATCTAACAAATACGCGACACGATTGTGAAAATATTCAGCGATTGATCAAATAGGAAAGACACATATCAATTCCAAAGATTAATAATTCTGACAGCAAACAGCTGGTAAATAAAAAATCGAATTCGATGATTAATTGTTAGAAACTTTTCTGATTGAAAATAGAGGAAGCAGAAAAATCTGATTACATCAATTAGAATTCTGCATTGAAAAGAAATATTTAATAAATTATTTATTTGAACAGTGTGTCAATTAAATATTTATTAGACATAAAGATATATTTATTTAGTATAAAAGACATTTGATTTAATAATTATTTCTTTTTATCAGATAAATATTTATTTAAATTTAAGAGATTTTTTTCTCAATACGATTATCTCGACTAAAATTACAATAGATTCGACCAAAATTCTATACTGCAATCAACTAGTCCATTAATGCATTCATTACATTAATTCAATGAATTGCATTAATTCATCACTGCATTAAATTCTAATTAATGCAATCGATGCACAGTTTCTCACCAGAATGAGTGCCAGATAGTCGGTCCACTTCAGACGAAGAGTTCTCGATGTCATCTCAAGAAGTAAAAAAACGTGGAACGAAGTAGAAAACGAAGACTACTCACGAGAGCCACGCGATACTGGACGATGATCGACACGCGGCCGCTCGTACTCTACTGATCGGAGTGATCGGTTAGCGCAATTCCGATCCGAGGGACCACCTCCGTGCGGTCCGAGACAGAATCGACAGGCGGGAGAGAAAGAGAGACGGACAAGAGGCTGATTCGCTTCCGGTGCGACGCGACTTGGGTCAGGAGAAGAGCGGGGGTGGAACTGACCACGACTGACCGGCGGCCGCAACGCGCGGAAAAGTCAGACGCACATGAGACTATATGAGTCCGAATATTTTTTTATTCCTTCTTCCACCGTCGGTCTCACATCCTGGATTGGAGGGGATCGTGCCTGACGGTAGTGGAAAGATCCAAGAGGTCTAAATATGCAAAATCTTAATTTTATTGTTTTTCTTTCTTCTTTGATTTTTTGTTTTATTCTTCTTTAAAAATGGTGCTTTCAATCGTAGTGAATTCTATTTTTATTTCATATATATATATATATATATATATATATATATATATATATATATATAAACAGAAACATTTTTTTTTCTTCATTAAGGGAATAATATAAGAATCGATTAAGAAATGTTCATTCATTTGGAATGAAGACGCAAGAAAATAGGATTTATAATTATTTCGCGATAAAATTACGAAAGATACTTATTTTTATTTAACGTAAAATTTTTCTTTCGCTTGAGTATAACTCTCGATTATACTTTAAACGGTGTTACATGAGTCACAAAAAAGCAATGTCAATATCCATACAGCACAGAAAGATCGCAGAAACATTGCAGAATGATTCCACTGAAACATTACAAATTGCATAATGGTTACGAAACGTTGCTGAATCATTGTTGCAAAATTCCAACAATGTTAAGATGTCCGTTTTATGTTATGTTGCAACAAAACGTTCCAGCAATATTGCAATGTAATGTATTTGGATAAATTTTTTAAGATTCTCTCTAAAATGAAAACTATTATTACATATATCTCACTAACTTTAATTTTTCTACAAATCACATTTTTAGTGATATGTGCTTTCCAAAAGCAATTTTTTATGATAAAACCATAAAATATTCCAATAAATATAATATTAATTCTGAAGGATAAATATATTCGTAAGGATAAAGCATGCATGTGTGAGTGCCCCGACAAACTACAAATATTATCCACATTAATATAATAATACAGTCGCTTGATAATATTGTTTCAATCTTCTGTGTGGGTATTGACAAATAATTCCAAAGTTATACTCAATTTTTTATACGAATCATATCACGAAAAAATTAATTGGATTATTAAATACACAAATTGCATTAATTGTAAAAATAGGAAACATATAAATTGCGTTAGTAATAAGAATACTTACCCATACAGCACAAAAGATTGAAGCAATATTACTGCAATATTGTAAATTGTAATGTAACACATCCTAGCACAGAATATTTATGATAAATATTTATTAATATTCATTTTTGGAAATGTTATTTATATAGATATTTCATACACATTTTATATAAAACTTTATTCAAAATATTATTAAAATATAGACTAAATATTTTATGTAATATCCCATACAGCACAGAAGATTGAAGCACTATTGCTGCAATATTGAAGATTGGAATGTAATATTGCAGAGATGTTACAGAAATGTAAATTAACAATATGCCTGCAAAATGTCAATAATATGCTTGTAATATTCCATAAACATTGCAAAACTGTAATTCTTTAATTGTTACAATAATAATAATATAAAAATATAAGTTTTTACAATATTTATGTAGTACAGTTTTTTTAGATTAACAATCGTTTTTATGATATAATAATTAATATATTATAAATCATTTTATATTTAAATAAAAAATTTATTGATCTATTATTTGACAGCCATTTCATTAGCTAAGTTTTATATTTATTTTAAATATAAAATCAAAATATTGTATAATATCGAGTTTGGATATAATCAATGCATCATTATTGGATAAGATGAAGCAATTAAACTGCTGAAAACGATTTATCGAAATATTAATTATGTGATCGATGATGTATTTATGCCTGATGTGAACGCAAGAATAAATCAGCCTGAACTTTATTGATAAATTTCGTACCGTATTTTTTAATCGATTTCAATTGACTCGAAGTAGTTTCGAATTAAAAAGAATCACTGCGATTTACTTAATCCATGATTAACTTACCAAGCGACTGTATTATTATATTAATGTGGATAATATTTGTATAGTTTGTTCGCGGCACACATACCTGCTTTATTTTTACGAACAAATTTATCCTTCAGAATTAATTAATACTATATTTATTTTATGGTTTTATTATAAAAAATTGCTTTTGGAAAGCTCATATCACTAGCAATGCGATTTGTAGAAAAATTAAAGTTAGTGAGATATATGTATAGAAATAATTTTTATTTTAGAGTCTTCGTAAAAAATTTATCCAAATACATTACATTGCATTATTGCAATATAACAAAAAGACGGACATTTTAAAATTGTTGGAATTTCGCAATAATGATTTAGCAACATTTCGCAATACCATGCAATATTGCAATATTTCAGTGAAATCATTCTGTAATGTTTCTGCAATCTTTCTGTGCTATATGGATAATAAAATGAATTTTTTTTTTATTAATTTTTAATTCAATTGACCCTCTAATCATATATCGTAGTAAGAGAATCAATCATTCAACCCTTCTATCTGTTTTGAACTTATTTCGCAATAATGACGATTTAATATCCCCAACAGCACAAAACTTGGAGCAATATTGCTGCAACGTGTAATATTACAACAATATTGCTACAAGTTCTGTATTATATTATTGGGTGTTTGATATTCATTTTTAAATGTTAAACGACAATCGCATTAACAATTTCATAATATTTACAACAAATATAATTGATCTGTGCAATATATGTATAATTAAGACCACAAAAATATTTACAAAATATTTGAAATGAGTTTTACAAATACTTGGTAAATATTTTACAAATATTGTGTGCTATCTGCGAACATATATATCCTTATCGCCGATTTAATTGAAAGTGAACGAACCGCAGTCGGTTCATCGCGTCGCGCGTTTGAATGCTGCGCAGACAATACGAAAGTACGAAACTCGTCTCTTGGTCGCGCGCGTGACATTCTTTGCTCGTAGCATCATGTGTGATATAAAAAACGTGCTACCGACATTGTGTGAATACATTAACTCGTTGATAAACATAGGATTAACGCCTGAGCATCTAAGGCTGGCCAAGTATAACACCCCGGACGAAATCGTCGTAAGTATAAGTATCGGAGATTCGAATGCGCTCGCGCTAACCTAACCTAACCTAATTTATCTGGCGAGACTGATAATCCTATCGCGGTTAAAAACATATTTACAAAATTAGGTCAGAAGGGAGAGCGTTATACCAGACATTTACCGTAATTACGGAAAATCCATATGGACGTGATATTTATTTATGTATACAGGAAAATCTTCAGAAAATAATTTGACGAGTCTATTGAGCGCAATCATATGTTCTCTGTGCAGGCTGAGAAGCTGTGGAGCATATTGCGCATTCTGAGCTACTACGCTGCCAGAGAGAAACGAGGCGACATAGATTTCCGAAATTACGGTTCGTTTCAATGATTTGCATTTTTAATTGCATTGCCGAGTGCATTGCAGATCGTATTCTAGATTCGCGTTCGTTTGTTTTAACAAGAAGCGTGCACGTTATTCCAATTAAGAAAAGTCTTCGCGCCGCAATTGTGTATACATAATTGTTATAATTAAAGAAGTAAAATTGCTCTTATTGTTAGCATGTAAGAAAAAAGAGGTATGCAATCTTTTTGTTTAAAGTGAAGTAATTAATTGTGCAAATGTAGTACTAAAAAAAAAAAAAGTTAAATACACGCATCTGTAAAAAAATATTGAATATATTTTTATAATAAATTAAAAAAATTTATATTTTTAAAATTATGCATTTTTTATAATATTTTTTATAATCTTATAATAAATTTTTGTATTATTATGTAGAACAAATAGATTTAAAGCTATATGTAAAATACTTTTCAAAAATTTTGATA